CACTGTATCTCCTGAGAATTAAACATTTCTGCTCTTCCAAAGACACTGTTGAGAGAAGGAAAAGACAAGCCACCGACTGGGAGAAAGTGTTTGAAAATCATGTATCTGATAAAGGACTTGTATCCAGGAAAATCCCACAAAAGTCACTAAGAAGGAATCAGACACTCAAATAAATTGGCAAAAATTCTGAATCGACATTGCACACACAAAAAATCAAATGCCAGATAAGTACTACATGAAACGATGCTCAGCATCATTAATCATAGGGAAATGCAAGTTAAAACTTCAATGAAATATAAATACAAATAAAAACTTTAATGAAATAAGAATGGCGAAAATTAAAAAGATGGAACACACCAAGTCTTGGCAAGACTACAGGGGATGGAACACTCATACAACTGCTGGTGGAAATGAAAAATGGTGTGATCACTTTGGAAAACACTATAGCACTTTATTATAACGTTAATCTCACATATATCACATGATTCAGCCATTGCACTCCTATGCATTTATTCTAGAGGAAGAAGGTCTATGTTTATGCAAAGACTAATACACAAATGTTCATAGTAGCTTTTTTCAAAAGAGCCCCAAATTGGAAACCACTGAAACATCTATTAATAGGTAAATGGATAAAACAAATTGTGGTATATTTATATATTGGAATTCTACTAAGCAACACAAAAGAATTAACTACTGATATATGCAACAAAATGGATAAATCTAAAAATAATTATCATGAATGAACAAATCCAGACCAAAAAAAAAAACAACAGAATAAAACTTCTTTGATTCTATTTAAATACATTTCCAGGACATGAAAACTAATCCACAGTGACAGAGAACTGGGTTTGCCTAGGGACAGGGCAGTGGGAGGGCTAAGGAGGCCATGTAGGACAGAACTGAAAATGTTATGTCCTGGAAAAATAATACTAATGACATGTAAACCTATCTGAAAAAAACCCTATCTGGTTATTTTAGGGGACATGGCTTGGTATTACTATATTGGGCAAACTGTAGAGTAATTAACATTTTTGAAAATACAAAAATTCTTGTAATTGACATTTTAACTAACAGTTGAAAAATTCCAGGCTTCTTTAAAATTTTATTATATGGTGGATTAAAAACATGGAGTCCATGGAAGAATTTATATTGCAACATCAAATTGCTAGGAAGAGCTGTGAACGAACAGCATATTTCAACAACCATCTGGGAGATATATGGGAATCACTGATTATTATTTATAGCGTCAGAAAAATATATGTAAGTTCATACACATGCATATTAAACAAAAGACCCTCAAGCTAGACAATTCATTGCTTTCAGACAAAGAAAGCATCTCTAACATGGGCCCAAGTGCTAATGCAAAGCATGTAGCTGCTGATGGAATGACATTCCACCTGCTAAACCTCTTCTTTCATGGTGAGATCAAAGCACTTTCTCTACTTTTAGGCTAGTTTGTGAAACTCACAGGAGCTATTCCACAACATGCTTTTGTTCAGATCTATGAACTCACTTGAATCAGGAGTCATATCCCACTAAAGATGTGAAGTGTTGGGGTCTCCGGGAAGCCCCTACCCTTGAACCTGGAGTAGGAGCTTGAGGAGCCATCAGGACACAGATCCTCATAACCTGCCTCCTTCAGACACCTGATATGAGCAGGGCCACTGGCATGAGGAGCTGCACAGGGAGAGACAGATCCAGCAATCACTATGCTTTACTGCTGTAACTGTGTGCCCAGCACCATGCTAGGCACTGGGTTAGTGACAATGACACGGATACGATTGGTTAGTGATCCTCACAACCAGATGTTACAACGGGCTTCTCATCAGGGCCTTTCTCTTCTCTTTTCCTCATCTATCCCTTAACAACAAAGTTGAAAAGGAATAAGCAATGGCCTGAATTCATACGACATCCATGATCCCGCAATAACCACAGGGCCATGGACTTACTCCTCTGTTATCACTGAACGTTCACACCAATCCTGTGGGTAAAGCATCCTCAGCCCCATTTTACAGAGGGGGAAGCTGAGGCTCAGAGAGAGTCGTTACCTGTCTCACTTCCCGCGCTCCTGCCTTTAGAAGGAAAGTGGCTCCAGGACACCCTTGGAGCTGGACACCGCACTCATTGGTGCCCGGGGTGTGGGGTTGGTGACGACCCCAATGTCTTTACCTACGAGACAGCCGAGGCACCGAGTCTCAAAGCAGGAAACGGAGACTTGGATATGGATCCCTTTGTCTCCTCACATCCCAGGAGGGCGGCCCAGCCCCCACCGCGGGGACCTACACCCTCAGCTGAGTCCCAAACATCTGAAGGCAGGACCCGCTCTTCTCGTCAGACCGCCTCAGTCTCGGTGGAAAGGTCGTTACGGTCGCCATATTGACGTCAGGTTTCTATGGCAACCGCGACGCGCAGGCAGGTCCGCCCACTCCGGAAATGCCTCCTCACGCTCCTCCACCCCCTGGATTTCGCTGAAAGCGGAGCACCTTTGCTCTTTCAGGCTGCCACCTGAGAAAGCATAATAATTAGAGGAACTAGACTGGGACCCGGGTAGTTTGCGGAAGTCTGCCCATTTGTTGGAACAAAGCACATTCCTATAATACGGAAATTTTTTGCTTTAAAGAGGCAATAGGAGAATATAGATATAGATATAGATATAGATATAGATATAGATATAGATCAGTATATACAGTATACAGAGACCCAGGGAGGTGTCTTAAGGTTCTTGGAGATGAGCTTGCTCTCAGAGAGTGAGCATGTAGAATCACAAGCCTTGCTAAGCAGTTAGTCATCTGTGGCAGAAAACTAAGACGCGGTCTATAATCGTGTGACTTGATGTAAAAAACCGACAAAGAAAGTCATTTAAGAAATCTCAGAGATTTTTCAGGGAGGCAGGAATAGAATAAGGTAGTCATTTATTAGGCAGAAGCCTAGTCAATTAATCCATACATTGGTTTATCCTGGGGAGCTCTTATCCACCATTCCTGATATTTTCTTCTGTGTGGAAGGACATTCATTACCAAAGCACTTCCAGCCCCTCTACACTCACTCTTTCTGTTTTGCAGGAATGACTTACCTGATTCTGAGGTTGGAAGGAGAAACAAGGGTTTCACAGCCCGGACTCTCTCTCTTTAAAACTCTTACAGCAAGCTGCCAACAGGGAGCATGTGTTCTGCCCTGCCCTCAGGGATGGGTCTTACAATTAGCTCACAGTTCTCCCCTTTTTGTGTCTCTCTAGCTCACCAACTATTCCTATGTTACTGCTTTAAAATGCCTGTGTCATTATTGCCCCCCAAATACACCCTTGCTCTATGTCTGGGCCATAGACCAACTAAGAAATAGGGAAAAAAGAAAAGAATAAGAAGAACAATACATCAACTTGATTCCTTATAAAGGTGAAATTGGAGAAAGTGGCTTAGATTTGCTGGCAAATGGGCTTCCTATTATGACGTCCAGAACTGGACAGACTTGTCCACTCGGCAGTGCTGCACTGGGACAGTCACTAAGGCCAAAGGCTGCAATGTGTGTCTATCGGCTGTCTGGTAGAAGAGTCCAGTCAATGCATACTCAGAGAAAGTGGCTTTCTTGCCAAAGGCAGTCCCTGTAGCAGGAGAAAGTGTTTCAAGAAACTTTTGAGAAACACTTCTCAAAGTGAATAAATACCCCTTGTTCTGAATGAATACCCACCAAGCCACCTTCTGAGGCTTCCCCCATGGAGCCATTGTGGCAACACTTTCTTAGCACCTTAATTCATGTGATTTTAGTGTGATTTTGTAATTATTATTATTTTCCAATTTCCAAGACTAGTGTGAATATCAGATAATCATCAATATTTCCCTAGAAAATTCCCTCAAGAAGGAACTGATGGGATGCTCAGAAATGTACTCCCTCACATAAACTAACACACAAACTATAGTCAAAATGATAACAAAGTCCTACCAAGCCTTCAAGGATAAGAGAATCCCTATATTACCCAATGATAATAGACCACAGAAAAAAGAGGTAACATTCACCACTATCATAATGTTTTGAATATCCATTTCTGCTTAGCAATAAATAAAACAATAACCATGTATTATTTCTCAGGATTCTGTTGGTTTACTGGGCTCAGCTGGGTGTTTTTCTGCTCCATTTGATATCTGTTACCTGAGGCTGCAGTCATCTGGAGGCACCTCTCATCTGGAACATCCAAGACAGCCCATTCACATACATGAGAGTTAGTGCTGGCATCTGATGGGAGCTTACTGGGGCTACTGAATGGAGCATTTTGGGTCTTCTCTGCAGAGCTCTCCACATGTAGGGCTGCCAGATAAAACAGAGAACACCTAGTTAAATCTGGATTCCAGACAACCAAGAAATATTTTTTTTTAGTGTCAAGTATGATGGTTAATTTCATGTGTCAACATGACTGGGACAAGGTGCCCAGATACTTGGACAAATATTATTTTGGCTGTTTCTGTTATGTTTGGATGACATAAACATTTAAATAGGTAGACTTTGAGTAAAGCAGAATACTTTTTCCAAGGACACATGCCTGGTAAGAGGCAGCATAGTTATTCTGGGTTATTGGATTCCAAAGTTGGGTTCTACACTGAATCTATGCATATATGGTGAGTAGTAATGTTTACTTTGCTCTAGAGCAGGTTTTCTCAACCTCAACACTGTTGACATTTTGGGTCAGAGAGCTCTTTGTTGTGAGGGCTGTTCTATGTATTGTGGGTGTTTAGCCTCCATCCATAAGATTTCATTAGCACCCCTGGTGTGACTACCAAAAATGTTTCCAGATATTTCCACATGTCTCCTGGAGATGGGGAGCAAAATCACCACTTTTGGAGAACTACTGCTTTAGATACATATTTCTGACAGGTAGCTGGATACATAAGTCTGGAGTCAAGGAGAAATTTCTGAGATGGAGAGATGATTTGTAGGCTTATGGGGCCTGGCATGTAATAGATGTCCCATAAATATTTGTTTAATAAATTTAAATTGTCTTGAAAAGGGGACCCGGAAGCACCTACCCTCCACTTCTTTCTCCTGTTTGGTTTCTGTCTCACTTAGAGCTGTCCAGTCGCAGACTGTCTCCAATACGCTTCCTGTCCATAACAGAATCAGCATGATTCTTCAGCAGCTCTTCCGGTCTTCCTCTGTCATTCAGGCTGCAGTCTCAGTCTCTTTGAGGAGGAACATTGGTGTTACAGCAGTGACATTTAATAAGGAACTTGATCCTGATCAGAAACTCTTGGTGGACAAGATTAGAGAATATAGAACTAAGCGACAGACATCTGGAGGACCTGTTGATACTGGCCCAGTGTATCAGCAAGAACAGGACAGGGAGCTTTTTAAGCTTAAGCAACTGTATGGTAAAGCAGACATGAATATGTTCCCTAACTTCACATTTGAAGAGCCCAAATTTGAAGCCATTGAAAAACCATAGTCCTGAAGAAATAATGTAAAGGTTTTCTGGTAATTTGTCCTAGATTAGTTGTACAACTGATCAGAAGTATCAGAATAAACATACATTTCACAACTAAAAAAATGTAAAAGTGCTTATAAAATTGAGGGTCATCAAATCTTTTTCTATCCTTATACCAGTTCTACAAACTAAGGTAGGGTCATTCTTAAAAACTTTATGAAAATCTGCATTTTCAACTCAACACTTATTGCTTAGCTTTTGTTTCCCTTTGCAAAAGGAATGTATTTGAATGGTAGACTATGTCAAAATGGGTTACACTACCACCAGGTAAAGCCAGAGCCAGAATTGAACATTAAGATGGCAGAACAAAAGGGTGAAGTTCCAGTGTAGCCTACATTTCTGTGCCAGACACCATGCTAAGTAGTTTAATGACATTAACATATTTGATCTTCACAATAGCCCTTTAAAGTTTTATCACCATTTATGGATCAGAAGTTCAAGGTACAGAGAGGTTAAGAAACTTGTCTAGGGTTACATGGTTAGTCGGTGACAGAGGGAGGGACCTACCCAGGACTAGATGGTATTAAAGCCCATTGATACTAACCAAGAAGGTATCCTACCTCCAACAAATATCCCTAGAGCCTCAACCAGGGTCTGGAACTCAGTGAATTTTTAACTGAATTGAACTTAATATAGTGACTGAATATAGAATTCTGGTGAGCCTGCAGCATGACTCACCTTGGACTTACATGGAAAAGTATCTCCCTTTAGAAACTCAAAGTGTTTTTCTGGATGGAAATGACTTTATTCTCTGGCCCAGACCTAGCTGGCTGGGAGAAGAGGCTGATGTAATCCTCTCTGACAGGTCAGACCACATCGGATACAGTGACTTACCCAAGGTCATCCCAGGGTTATGAGGTGAGGTCTGCCCAGGGAGATTGCCTGGCTGGTACTGCAGGGTCCTGTACAAGATACACATAAACAGCTTTTGATCCTGTGTAGCACCTCACCTTTCAAGGGATCAGTGGATAAGTTTTTCCTGAACTTATCTGCAGGGAGAAGTAAGGGCACATGACAGCACATGAAACAAGAACAAACAGGATGATGATTTTCTTCCTTTTCCCTAACTTCTCCAGGGGAGGAGAGCAGAAAACAGCAGGTTTTCCAGGAGTTCTCTCCTTGCTCCCTTTCTTCCCCTTTGCTCTAGCCCAGTCCTTTGTGACATTAGAGGAATGTAGACAAAAGCCAGGAAGCTGGGGTACCCTGAGAGAGGGACAGAAAGATAGGAAGTGCCTGACAACCAGAATAGTGCATCAGGAAACACAGGTACTGGAGCCCATGCTCTGGCTGTTGGTTGATCGGTCAGGCTCTCGGTTTCCAACTGTTTCCTTTTGCAGTGTTATCACTCTACCTCATAGCAATGAAGCTCACCGATAAAACAAATGTGTATTTTCCAAGTAAGAATAACAGAGATTAAGTGACTTACAGACATGAATGTCACAGAGTTATTCCAGGGAGGTCTCCTGTCTCTTTTGCGCCCATGTCCAGGGTCCTGTCTGGAAGACATAATATTAGGCTTTGATCTCACCCTTCAGGATCTCAAAGAAAACACTCTTCTTTCATGTAAAACAAGGAGGTAAGATAGAGGGACAGGGAAACAGGGGAAACACAGGGAATGGAATAAGTGCTGACTTCATTCCTTTACCCCAAACTCCATTCATGGGGTACATGACTCAATTGAATGGAAATGGTGCAAACACCTCTTTTCTTCCCCAGACCCATCAGGGCACTCATTCCACTGCATAAAATGACATTGACTCACAGTCAAAATAGAAACGTGTATGTATTTTCCTTCTCTCCATATGCTTTCCAGATCATGTTCCCCTCAAATATGTACACACCTGTAGTTCACACTCTCCTGCCCCTTCTTATTACTAGTGGGATAAAGCTCCACCAGATTCCTGACTCTAGGCAAATCTGTCCTCAGATAGTGCAAGTCCCTCTTCCTTCTCCCTCCAAATGTACTGCTCAGCTCCTGTCTTCATGGCTATTAAGGCTGGAAAGAAAAGGGGCCAACATTCCAAGACAGTGACCTTATGGGTTCCTGCGTCCTCAGGGCCCTGAATGCCTCCTGATTTACATGTTTTTTTTTCAAATCAGACAACTTTATGGAAGCAGAAGATATAAGAAGAAGAAAATGTAAACATGTCAAATTTATATGTATTTTCTGTTGTGCAACTTTGTTTGGGACCAAATATTGTTCTGTGCAGTAACCTAAAAATTTTAAAGTAAGTGTGACCACATTCTTTGTTAAGTGAAGCTGGCATAAGGTGTGTCTTCAAATGGCTTTTAAAACCTAGGGCAAAAATTGAATTTGCTTTATTGAGGGATAGATATATTCTTTTTTGTGTGTATGATTCAATATTTGTATAGATTATACTCCATTTAAAGTTATTATAAAATATTGTCTATATTCCCTGTGTTGTACAATACATCTTGGTATCTTACTTATTTTATTATTTTTATTTCTACTGAAGTATAGTTGATTTAAAATACTGTGTTAGTTTCAGGTGTACAGCATAGTGATTCAGTATTTTTGCAGATTAGATTCCATTATAGGTTACTGCAATATAATGGGTATACCTTCCTGTGCTATGCAGTATATCCTTGTTGCTTATCTATTTTATACATAGTAGTTTGTATCTGTTTATCCCATATCCCTAATTTGTCCCTACTCCCTTCTCTCTCCCCTTTGGTAATCCCAGAGCGTATGAAATTTGTGTTCCTCTTGGAAACTGATACCAAAATGCAGTGGCAGAATTGTTTATAGTCCTCTCCTGGGATTTGTAACCAGTGCATAGGGTACCCTATACCTTTGGGATTGATAACCAGTGCACAGTAATCTCCTCCACAAAAACAGTATGGAGGCTCCTCAAAAAAACTGAAAATAGAAATACTATATGACCCTGCAGTCTCAATTCTGGGTATTTATCCAGAAGAATTGAAATCAGGACTCTAAGATCCTGCACTATCATGTTTATTGTAGCACTATTTACAATAGCCAAGATGTGGCAACAACCTAAATATGCATCAACAGATAAGGGAATAAAGAAAATATGGCATATACATATAATAGATTATTACTCAGCCTTAAAAAAAGAAGGAAATTCTGCAATATACAACAACATGGATAAACCCTGAATACATTATACTAAGTGAAACAAACCAGGCACAGGAAGACAAACATTGTATGATTCTACTTATTTTGATATCTAAAATAGTCAAATTCATAGAATTAAAAAGTCAAATGGTGTTTTCTAGGGGCTAGGGAGATGGGGAAGTGAAGAGTTACCAATCAATGCTCGTAAGGTTTCAGTTAAGCAAGATGAGTAAGTTCTCGAGATCTTCTGTATAACATTATACAAATAGTCATCAATACTGCACACTTAAAAAATTGTTAAGAGGGTGAATCTCATATTAAGTGTTCTTATTACAATAAAATAAAATGAAATAAAATAAAATAGGAAAAAAAGATAGTCAACCAATAATTCTAAATCTGGCAAAAACTGTCCTTCAAAAATGAGGGTGAAATTAAGACATTTACAGACAAACAAAGCTGAGGGAGTTTATTACCACTAGACTTGCTCATGAAAAATGCTAGAGAGAGTCCTTCAATTTGGACAGAAAATATCACATACAGTTACTTGAAGCCATATGAAAATACACAGATCTCCAGTGAAAGCAAATAGATGGACAAACTATAAAAACAAGTGTGATTATAATTTTGGCTTGTAACTCCATTCTTTATTTTATACAGGAATTAAAAGACTAATGCACAAAAATTCATTATAAACCTATTTTAACGGGTAGGCAACATGTAAAGATTAAATTTGTGACACCAATAACATAAAGTTGGTGGGGGGACAGAACCATAAAGAGTAGAGTTTTTGTATATGATTGAAGCAAAGTTGGTTTCAATTTACATTACACTGTTATAACTCCAGGATAGTTTATGTGATTCTCATCACAACCAGAAAGAAAATATTTGTAGAATATACACAAAAGGAAAAGAGAAGGGAATCAAAATGTGTAATGACAAAAAATCAATTAAACACAAATGAAGGCAGCAATGAAGGAAATGAGGGACAAAAAAAAGCAGTAAGATATACAGAAAACAATATAATAGCAAAGTAAATCCTTTCCTCTCTGTGTATAACTTCACAGTTGGCCCTGCAGCCACAGATTCAACCAATCGCAATCAGGTAGTACAGAGCCCTCTCTGCTTATCTCTGGACACCTACTCTCAGCTGGACAGTGTTATGCATCCTGTTAGAAAATCTTCTGAAAGAAGCTCTGACTCCTAGAGGTGCCATGTCCCTCTCAATAGTCATTGCCAAGGTTTCCCTGAAGGAGAGGAGAACTCCAGAACCTTGCAAAATGTTGAAAAAAATCTGCGTTCAAACCCATGTTGTTCAAGGGTCTACTATACTCATATTTCTTGATAGCTTTCAATCTACAGCAAAGCCTCACTTCCTTAAACCCTCCCCCAGTCACCTAACAGAAGTCCTAATCCTAAAACAAGTCATTTCTAAAACTCCCTTATTGAAGGACCCCATGATTCTTCACGGTGTGTGCTCTCACTCTCTGCAACCTAACCTGTTCAAATACAGGTGATTTTTGGCTGGAGGCCATTGCCATTCATGATCTTTGATGAAGCAGTACCACTTCAAGGACTCTGTCATACAGAAATGTTCAAACAGGCAAGAAGTCATAAACAATGGTGTATCAATTTTCACAGAAAAAATGTAAGAATATGCTAAAGAATACAAAATAATAAACTAAAAATTATGTTGCATGGAAAGTACAAAAGGTTGCTGAGAGAAATTAAAGAAGACCTAAATAAATAGATATATTTTGTTCATGGGTCAGAAGATTCAATATTATTAAAATGTCAGTTCTCCCCAGATTGATCTGTTTTTTTAGGGGGGAGGTAATTAGGTTATTTATTTATTTATTTATTTATTTATTTATTTATTTATTTATATGGAGGTACTGGGGATTGAACCCAGGACCTCATGCATGCTAAACAACTTGCTCCCAGCTGGACTTTTTATGG